TGCTTTGACTCTCTCATATCCTAGAATAGCGTTTCCTGATTTTGTTTTTCTTGTGGACCACTGTGGTTTGTCTTGGTACGGGATGTCACATCCTGCAGAGAGCCTGTGTATGTTAAGACAGACAGGAAGATGCTGAAGCATTATACAGAATTTCGGTAAGCACGCTATCTGTGTCAGTATGTTAAGCACTGTACCTTGTGTGACCTAAATACAACTCTCAACAAACAAAGAGCATTCAGTGGGTGACCCTCAGGACTCAATGCTCTAGAAGGCTGAAGGTGCACAGCCATTCACATGTTCAAACAAATATAATGAAGAATATGATCATTTAGGACATTTTTATTACAAAATAACTTCTCACACAGTTTGCTAATGCAGAGGCTGCTGTGACAGCAAGCAGGGTCCTCTGCTTCCATGGCATTTGCCATTGAAACTGGCAGTTAGCTGCCGTAAGTGCCAGAAGGAGTTTTCTTAAATTGTGAATTCTTAAATGAACAAAAGTGTAGTACTTACTTAGAAGTCTGAGCTTTAAAGTCATATACAGCTCTAGCTGGCAGTTTCTGAAAAGTAGGCAAAGTGATTAATACATTCAGGTAGTGTCACTATGGGGTTTCAGCTTTTAAAAAGGTGACCAAGATCCCAAAAGAAAGGGACATGTGCCTTACAGCAGTTCTTGCAGTAACAGGCAATTAAATACACAGCTTCCTTTTTTAAGGCAGTCAGGTGTTTGGATGTAGTATTTTAAAAATAGAAATAGCAGCTAAATTTTAGTGCAGACTGCTTTGTAATTTTATCTTTAAGAGAACTACAAAGGCCAAAAAAAAGTTAACTAAATGCCAATGTGACTTGTAGGCAACTAGATCACTAGGTCCAACAGAAATTCACATGCTTAACATTCTTTAATACTTTAGATGCCTCTTCTGTTAAACTTGTTATCTTTAGGCTAATTTCAACTGCAAATACTGCATCACATCATATATATTGCTCTGACAGCTGGAAAAGCTTGGAAATAATTTAAATTTCTATAATCACATTCATAGTTTTAAGAAAGTCTGAGAAACACAGGACTGGAAGTGATCTCAAGTCATCTGTGCAGCTCTTGGTATCACAGGCAATCACATCATATCGTTCCTTTCATATATTCATCAAGTTTTATCACCAAGTACCTGTAAGCTCATTATTGTTTCCAAAATAAAACTGTAAACCAACCCTACCTCTCCTCACCCGTGTGGCTGACACTTTCACTGTTTTCAGAGCTGTGCTGAAAACACAAACTGTGAAGCAACCCAAGAGCCTCTCTCCTCTAGTGTCTGCCTCTGATGGGTACCCAGCACGAGATACTTCAGAGGAAGATGCAAGAAGTGATTAGCAGTATTATGTGAGGATATTTGGTAAAGTGATTTAGTATTTCCCTGCAAGTACTTGCGCAGATGAGATTGCTACATTTTTAAAAATCTCCCTCTGGGATATGCTAGTGACTGGAATGAGCTGATTATGCTATTTCTGAGAAAGAGTATTTGTAATGATGTAAGGGTGCACATCTTTTTGTAAGAGGAATACAAAGTGACACTTAAGTTTTGCACTTTACTTTTCTTCCGGGCCAAATATTCTTGTCATCTACAGGCTAGAAAATTTAGCACACCTACAGCATTATCTTTGCGGTAATAAAAAAGTCCCCAAAGTTATTAGAGGGATCCTGTCCACTTGCATTTTATGTAATTTTATGTAATATTCATACAATCTTCCATTACAGGTATCCTTCAAATAAGCATTTGTCTGTTACCTGCTGTTGTTAAAAATAGCCTTTTAGATGGGAGCGGATATTTGTATCATCAACTGTAGCTAAGCCCTTTTCACTCTTCCTGATTTTGGTACAGCTGGTGCTGTAACTACTAAAGCAAATAATGGAAGAAGGGGGATAATATTAAAAGAACAGTGGAGCTGATTAAATACAAAATACTCTGAAATGTACAAAACATACTGGAAATAGAGAAGCCTTTCTTCTTTCATCTTTTTAAATTATAGCAATCAAAGAATGGCTTGTAGTATAAGTTTTTTATGTATTTTCAAATTGAAAGATGACTTTCAGTGTCACAAAACTCTTTAAAAGGAACACACAATATGGCTTCTGGAACTTTTTAAACCTTTATTTTTTTTAATAAGCAGCCTTTTTGTGAAATCAGACTCTTAATCGAATTGCAGCAATATAACCATGCCAGTGGGGTGTTAAGTGGATCTGCATTCAGATCTTGTAACCATTTCTAACATGTACCACCATTTAACCAGGTAGATGGCCCAGAGCAAAACCATAAATATTAGCAATTAAAATACAGTTCTCTCTTATGCTGCCATTATTTTGTGCAATATTTTAATAAAAATTGGTGGAAAATGTTAACAACCTATGGCCTGTAGATGTTGGTTAATATAAATTAACTTGCTTTATGTTTGAATAAAATCCCTGAAGCCTGTCTGGAGAGCATTTAGAGTTCTAGATCTAGAACTATTCTGAAGATACTGAATGATATACTCCATTTTTATTGGGTATACTTTTCAGTGATACTTTGTGTTACTTTAAAGGTTGCATGCCCGCTTCTATTTCCTCTTCAAAGCATTAACATGACCAATCAGTATATAATTACAGTCACCAACTGTTACAGAAATTAGAGATCACTCTTAGGATAAATGGTTTTGTTTAACACACTAACAGCAGTTTTTCTGCTTTTTCTAAACAAAAATGGTGAATCAGTTTTGAAACTACTGAAACTACAGTTTCTTTGTGCAATGCTCTGGTTCTCAAAAGAGCCTTTCCCCAGTCACATCTGCTATTCTCCTCTGCCCCAAACACCCACTCTGCTCAGCCTGCCAATGACTGGTAAACTGATGTCCATAACTATTTAAACATAAATAGAAGATACAGCTTATCTTACAGTCCTTGGCATTCTTTTAATTTCTTGAAGTACCTATCTCCTTAATTAAAAAGGAGGATGCTGGCCCATCTGATGATATGGTAAGTAACTGTTCCTTTGGTCTGTATCATTACAGTGTCTCAAACCCAACACAAGTCTTGCCTCAGATATGTTACCAATTTTCCATATGGATAGTGCTGCATTGTTTATTGTTGTCTGACTACCTCTTTGTCTGTAGTTCCTCTTCTCTCTCTTGGAGTACATCGTCCCACATCAGTAAAAGCAGAAGAATAGCTTCCAGGAGACTCCTGGTCTACTGAAAACAGAAATTCTGTGAAACTATGGTACACAAAACAAACCCATTCAAATCTGTGATGCTGCTTGGTTTCATTTATGGGGGTTAAGAGACATTGAAATGTATTATTTTTACCTTTAATAGAAAGAAAAGGACATGATATGGTGGCCATAGCACACCTTTAAAGAAAAAAAAAGATACTGACTCTCAAGCAAAGGCAAAGGCTGTTCTCTGATACACAGCAGAATATATTATAGAGGATTGAGAGAGCAAAACTATGCCTTGCTGATCGAAGGGCTGCACCCCTACTGGACCAAATGGAAGATGAGACAGCAGTACCGAGACTTCGTCAGGCTGCAAGAAACTGTTTCAGAATGCCAACAATATCAACACATAATTACATGCACAAAACATGATTAAAGCATGCTTCAATGAGAAAATAGTGAAGAAAAATGGTTTCCTCCCAAGTGATCTAAGATGCATTTCTACTTTACCGGGGCATGTGTTAGGCAGCACAAGGGAATTTAAGAGGATGTTATTTCATAAAAACAGCTGTTGGAAGAGATGGAGTACAAATCATTACTCACCAATCTATGTGGCAGATTTTCTCTAAAGCACAGTTTACCAATGTTTATTACGTGTTGGTGAATACACCTTTCATGTTTAACAATAAAAATGAAATAAAAATCTTAGACTCTTCATAGCTCTGCAAGTTGCCAATATGAAATGAAAATATGAGGAAATTATTTCAGACCAGAGGATGAAATTTAATCTTGACTTCCGAGATTTACTATTTTAGTCTCCTGCTGTCACAGTGTGTCCTGGTTTTGGCTGGGACAGAGTTAATTTTCTTCCTAGTAGCTGGCATAGTGCTGTGTTTTGGATTTAGTACTAGAAGAACGTTGATAACACACTGATGTTTTTAGTTGTTGCTGAGTAGTGCTTAGACTGGCCAAGGACTTCTCAGCTCTCAGCTCTGCCAGGTGCACAAGAAGCTGGGAGGGGGCACAGCCAGGACAGCTGACCCAAACTCACCAGAGGGCTATTCCATACCATATGACATCATGCTCAGCATATATAAAGCTGGGGGAAGAAGAAGGAAGGGGGGACGTTTGGAGTGACAGCGTTTGTCTTCCCAAGTAACCGTTGCGTGTGATGGAGCCTTGCTTCCCTGGAGATGGCTGAACACCTGCCTGCCCACAGGAAGCAGTGAATTAATTCCTTGCTTTGCTTTGCTTGTGCACGTGGCTTTTGCTCTCCCTATTAAACTGTCTTTATCTCAACTCAAGAGGTTTCTCACCTTTACCTTTCCAATTCTCTCCTCCATCCCACTGTGGGGGGGCGCGAGCAAGTGGCTGCATGGTGCTCAGTTGCCAGCTGGGTTAAACCATGACACAGTGATACTTGCTAGTGAAGACATATAACTGATGTGTGTTTGTCTGACTTCAGTCACACAATCTGTTCTTACAAAGCCCATACCTTTCTAAAGAAGTACACGTGGGAAAAAAAAAGAACTGAAAGTATCTCATCTGTTATGCTGGTGTCTTACAGAAGAAAGATGTAAATGGTCTTCAGTGGGCTGTTGGCTAAGCCACAAAACCGTGAGGCTATTGATAAATACAGTGGAGGAAGAAAAGGAGAGAATGGTATTATTTATTGGTAGTTTTCAGTGGTTTTTGCTATGCCTTTGGGGTCTCTGTGTGGCTGGTGGCTGTAAGAGACCCACACAGATCCAAGAAAACATGAAACTTCATTAGAAGTAGAGCTCAGCCACAACGGGTGCTGATGGAAGTCAATGGAATATTCTGCTGTACTCACTCTCCACGCTATTTCAGGGACATTTATGTTGGCAGAGTGTATCACTTTCCCCATGCCAGGCTCCTTCACAGCTGCAGAAGCTTTTTGGAACCCACATTTACTCTGCACTGTGGATTTCCTTACTTTCAAGGACTGGAGGATTCTCATTTAGCAACTGTGATATGTGACCAGTGCAATTTCCAACAACTTCAGTCTCAGCGTGTAGTACTGCCTGCCAGGTTAATCACGATCAGGCCTCAAGTATGACTAATTCAATTCTGAACTGCACTTTGTAGCTGGTTTTTATCAAATTCTCTGTTCTCAATACGTCTATTTTAACTAGTTAAGAGGAGAGGATAAACAGCTTCAGTTCTGATTTCTCTTGAAATACATATTTACTAGTGTGGTATTTGCAGAAGTTACAGAAAAAGATGTGAGATTAAAGATAAGATGGGTCTAATCAAATATTGCATGACTGATGTATTAAAGACACTCTCTCACGTCCATTTGTGATTGCAAGAACAGCTTTGTAATGTCACTAAATTCTCAAAGACGCTCTGTCACAGAAGACTGTATGTCTAGAAGCATAATTCTTTAACACAGAAATGTTACCATTTAAAAAGAGAAGCAGATGACAGACTTGCCAAAGACATTAATCTAAATCATCTGGGATGCACCTTTGTGCACTCCTGCTGTGAATCTACTTTGCTACTTTTAATATTGCAAGGTTAAACTTTAAAAACATTTTAAGCTCAAGCAATTTTTTTTAAGAAAGAGAAGCAGAGCAACAAACAACTCCAGGTAGTTACTTTAAAACCAGATTACGGTCAAGACAGACTTCTTAAAAAGTTATACTCACCCTGACAGTTTCATTCAAGTTTTGGTTTTTAAGAATTTCCCCTCTAAGAGGACAGGATATTACTCAAAACTTCAGATATATATTAAAATTCTATGATAAGAACTAGTCTTGCTGCCACAGAAATTGGAAATTGTATTGTCTGAACAGTGGAAATGGAAACTCCCTAAAATGACCCTAGGGTCTATTCACAAAAAGTAATACAGAGCAGCGGAATTGGTGCATTTTCCAAAGAAAACAGAATCAACTTTCTATGATACTGGCAGAATTGACAGCATTTTTGTCACTTATGTGTAACAAAACTATACAATACAAGACATTTTTGAGGCGTATTTTTTTTACAATAATAAAGGCAGGGCTATCTGCATATTGTTTTCAGTTTGACCAGCATCTTATGATGAACGCATTCACTTTCTGTAAGGTCTTTTTCTTGGGGAAAAAACCCCACATTGCTTAAGCTAACACCACCACTGTAATTTATAACACTAATAATCTATTGGTTGAAATACACCGTTGCTCCGGTTGTCCAGATTACTGCATTTTGTGAATAGACAGCAAATTTATCTATCCTCATCACCTGTGTAAAGATGACATCCTTCATTAAGAAGTTTGTGGGATGAAAGCTTCTTACAGACGACACAAACAAAAAATGGAATGAGAAAGGGTGGGAAATACAGGGAGTAAAGTTGGACAAGTAAATCACAAGGACAGGGGAAGAAAGTTAATCCACCTTGGAAACACAGTGCACTATCATTGTTGTTAGTTGCGTCCATGTCTGGAAAAGAGGCACTAAGAGGTAATCTTCCACAATCGTTCTGGTACAGTGGGCAATGGATAGCACCATCTTGAGGCAGTGGATGAAAAGGCTGGTGCATGGGACTCTTTTTCAGAGCTTTAAGAGATGAATTCCTTTCTGGAATGTCTGGAAGCAGCTCAGTAATAAGTCTGTGTAATATACTGTTGTCGGGCAAGCTTCCCCTTCTTTTTTCAGCTTTAATTTGGTCACAGATGTCTTTAAGTGCAGAATCTAGTGCTTCAAATACAGACGACTTGCATTTTTTCTTTTCAGTTTGTTTTTTAGGAGCTGCACTTTTTTTCCTCCGGAAAGGCACTGGACTGACTAGGAATGCTATCTTAGAGAGGCCAGATTCCGCTTCCTGTCTCCTTGGATCTTCAGTGGTTTCTTGTTTAGCCCTTTCATGTTTTAGCATGGTGGTGAAGCGGGTGTAGGATGCTGGGCATCGCCCTTTGCAGGAGCTGATGAGATGCCGGTGGTGGTGGTGGTGGTGGTGGTGGTGATGGCCTGATCCATAAAAGCTTTCAGATGATGTGAAGGAAAAGTGGTCAAAGTCACTTTCGCTACAAAAGGATGAACCCTCTATCTGGATAAAGTCACTGAGGTCAGAAACCACTCCATCTTGATCACTGTCTGAAAAATCCATGTGCGATCGTTGTGGCTCATCACTGGTCACTTCAATATGAATTGGCACCAGGGTTTTAGACTTGTAGCTCCGTTGTACCTGAGAGGGATGTCTGCCTTGATTTTCTTCTTCCAGCAAGGATTCAATAGAAAATCGCCTCTTTGGACATAAACCATTTTTAGGAGGCTCTAGTGTAACGGTTGACAACATTTCATCACCTAGATTCGGCATTGATTTTGACTTCTGAATTAATTTTTCAAATTCAGATATTCTGGTTGGCACCATGTCTCTGGGCACCTCTTCAGTAGAAGACTCTCTCCAGCCTTGAAGAATACCTTTGTGCTGTTCTTTTTCATACTGCAGTATTCTGGACTTGACAGAACAAATAACCTCAGAATTCATCAAGTCCTTGCGATTGATGCGGTGCATCTTTTTGTACATTTTTAGGAAACCTGGGGCATCATGTGCAGATCTGTGACGAACTCTTGACCTACCAGTACCACGGCCCTCAGGAACATATGGGGAGGCCCAGTTCATTGAGCAAACTTCTTTGGAGTCCTCCTCACATAACAGAGAACCCATGCTTTCAGACTTGGCCTGTGCATCAGGAAAGCTATCACGATCATCTGTTAACAGATCGTCACAGCTACGAGATTTTCTCTTTGGAGAAGCAGTTTCTTCTGTGCTGCTCCAGACTTCTGCATTTTGACGAGTCATTTGCCAGCCATTCTTGTAGCTGATCGCCCTTCTTGAATCATTTGGAACAGCTAAATGTTGTCTGTAAGTGCTACAATAATCTAATTCATTTGAGGTGTTGTGGTTGTGCACTGAATAACTTAAAAGGGATGGATATACTTTGCTAATATCCCCACCTTTATCATCCATAGAGCAGCATGGTAAAAAAGAGACATTGCCAGAAATTAAAAGACGCAGAAAGTTGGAATTAACATCAGTAAGTATTAGAAAGACTAGAAAAGAGACAGCAAATAACACATCTATCAGCTCAGGTCAGTACATAGGTTGCTACAGCCTGGGACAGCAGAGCTAATAATTAAGTTATTTTCCAGCTGTAAAAATGTACTTATGGTAACTTGAACATCAAAAAGAATTCCTTATGAATTATGGATCTAGATACTACACCCTCTGCAACCCTCCCACCAAAGCAATGTAAGAAAACAAGCATTAATATTGACTTTGAAGCAGGTCAACAGACAATAAAAGCTGCAAAGGATTTAAAGATGAAGCCAAACAACAAATCTAGACCTCAGTCAAATATTGACTTTTCCACCTGTGCATTCTGAAAGAAGCTGTTCAGAATTTTTGAGCTGGATAATGGTGGGAGAGTTCACAGCAACTGCATATTCTAAGATAATTAAGACAAAGATAAATCTTTATATAAGATCAAATGGGAAATTTCTTCCAGTTGTTCATAGACTAAGGGAGCGGTGTTTTCTACAGCGTATAGAGGGCAGGACAAGGTGGCTGAGGAGCTGCTGTACGGATTTAAAGGAAGATGTATCAGTAACATAACAAAGCCTGAGTTTTCAAGCAAGTTTTAAGAGATATCATCATGTGCATGCTAGATCTAGAAGTCATTATGAGACAAATTTGAAACTGTGGTCCCCTCATACTTGCACTGAACTTTCAAAAGTGGCAACATTCAGTGCAGGACACATGCTTCAGACAGCTCAATGTGCCTTCTAGAAGAACAACGTGAATCTGAATCAGAAACTGAAACACTTGAGTTCAAAACCCACGTCGATTACACAGCTTAAAATGTGCTGCTTCTTTAACAAAGCGGTTAATTCCAAGAAAAAGTACCATTCTAGTAGGTTTTATAAGGCTGGGAGAGAAGAGAGTCACACAGCTAGGTCACCTTCCAGAAGTTAATTAGCTGTGGTAGATGTTCTTAAGGGAAGGATTTTCAAAGGCAGGAAGTGTTCTAGTTTTAAGTCATGCTAAGTGCTCGTTATCAGTGGTGTAGTCAAAGGTAAACGCAGGTAAATGGAGTTTGCCAACTTTCCACTGCCTGGCCTGGTACACCAAATGGATGAGTTTACCCACTTTTTAAATTACTGCTATAACACTGGGTTTAAAATACATTTGCTTTTCCATCGCTTCACTCTCAATACTCCTCAGTGTTGTTCTTTGCCTGATGCATTCTGTTGCAGCCTGGAAATTATGTTCTTTTCAGTGGGAATTGACTTTTACAAAGGTTTATACAGTCCCTAATACAGCTATAGACTGATTAGAAAGCATAGCTACAAACCACAGCAATAAATGAATAATAATCACTTAAACAGAAGGAGACTTACTGTATACTATATTACTTCATATATTACTTCCATCATATGTTTTACTGGAAACCTTTTCTCTTGCTAAAAAACCCCACCCAAAGCCCCAAACCCAATCCCACAACTGATTCCATTATCTCTTTTCTGGAGAGACATGGAGAACAGTAATCGAACAGCGAGTTACTTGGAAAAGGAAGCCAGTTAGATTGTATACGCTGTACTAAAAACTTCAAGGATTTACAAAATCAAAAATCAAACTATGGATATTTGATTGATTAAATTAGATCCTGATAACTGACAATGTCTCAGACATCAGTTATAGATTTGAAAAGTCTACTATTCTGGAAACACATCTTTAATCTCATATGCTATTTGTCTTGATTTACTTTCTGTATATACTGAAAACAGTTTTAAAATCACAGAAATTTAATAAGAAAGTTGTGGAGTTAAAACGTTATGGGTTTATATATTGCAGTACAAATCACAGCCTTTATTTAGTCAATTTTCTTTTGTTAGAATAAGCAGTTGACACTAGAAAATCCTTGTTACAAATCCAGCTTTTCAGCTTAAAATTACATACGTGTGAATAAACAAGTTAGCCTTTCATGAAAGGCCCAAAGCTCTTGCTTCATATAGTAAACCTCCCAGTAAAGCGCACCAAGCAACAGCAGGCAGCTGCCTTTACTGCCAATGCATTGTACAACATATCACCGGTGTTCTTCTGCTAACAAACATGCTCTCCTCTTACCTTTCGCTCTTGATGGAGAAGAAGGAGACGAGCTAGTTAAAGGCTTTCTAAGGGTGGTGTATGGGCCTTGCGTGTCTGTACGGCCCAGGCTAGGCCTGTTTGCATTCTGATCGCTGTGCACCCTCTGATGACTTACAGCAGGTTCTGACTTCCTTCTTTTCCTGTAGTCGCTTGCAGTACTTGCAGAACTACAGAAATAAGCAGTATTAGCAGCAGGCTAATCCCGAGATCAGAATTCAGGCATTTAAAAAGTAAGCTCATAATTATATTATTGGTTTATAGATTAAACAATGCCAGAACAAATACATCAAAAACACGTAAAGGGGAGAAGCACTGGTCTTGGACATCTTACGGCATATTTCACAAAGAAAAGCTGAATTTCTTCCTCACTTGATGGTTCTAAAGTTTTATACAAAATTGCTATGTCGTTTTTATCGTGAAAGCTTTGAAATAAATGCATCAAGGTTTTTTTTTTTAGACTATTTTTGGGTACTAGAAGTTCAGCAAAAAGATAGGAAAAATACAGAGACTGAGAACAGATGAAGCAGCAAAAGCAGGGAAACAGCCCTGGAAGTGCTGCGGACAGTAAGGTTAAATGATAGATTGCTGCAGCTGAGACAGAAGCTCAGGGATGCTAGTGGAAAGACACAGAATACAGCATGGCTTATTTTGGATGTAAACAGTAAGTCCCTGTAAAACAAAAGTAAGATTTACACTTCAGTATCAAAAGATGAACGTTCCCTCTGTGCATCTCTCTATTTTGTCAGGAGCTCACAACGTGAATCTTAAAATCCGACTCTTGTAACATCTGCTGGCTTCAGGTCACAAAGAAAACCCTCAGGCTGTATAATCTGCGTATACTGAAATCACGTATCGTATTTCTTACCTAGAGGGCCTGTCCAGGCCTTTGTCTGTTGAATAGTGATGATATAAGGAAGTCTGTGAAAACAAATATATGGATCTGTTATACGTCTGTATTTGAAAAATGGGTGACAATTTCTGCTTATCATGTTTGATTATGATTGTTACTCTGTGACAAATCCAGTAAAACCTATGATGGGCACTCCAACACAGATACTGCAATATTTCATGAGAATAGTTACGCAGTTTTTAAAAAGCATCACTGGATTTCATTTCATGTCCTACTTCAGGAATGGTTTTTCTTTTAAAGCACTACTAAATAATGATCCCGTCATGCTTCTCTATACCCTTTTCAAAAATACACAACAGCTGAAACGAACTTTTACTATGAAAACACAAAAATCTGAAAATAATTCCTTGATGTGTGAGGTCTGCAGAGCTTCTCCTCCCCCCCCCCAGTTACTCACCAAAATCCCACAATCAATCTGAAAATAATTCCTTGATGTGTAAGTGAGGTCTGCAGAGCTTCTCCTCCCCCCCCAGTTACTCACCAAAATCCCACAATCAATTATAGCCAGAAACTTTTGTAAATGCCGTGATGTTTGTGGCCAGTTGCTGACCACCTTATATTCCTGGTAAGAACAGTTCTTATCACAGAACACTAGTCGTTGCTTACGGAGTTACGATAGTAGCTACTGCACGAACCCTGAAAAATGGAATGGAGTACTGCTCCATAATTTTATTATTAATACAGAGTCAATCTTAAATGACCACTAATTATAAACCAATCATTTCTTACATTTCAAGTCTGTGGTCAGAATTAGGTAATGCTACAATTCTGGTAACAAGCTATGAACCTAGAACGAACTGCACGGTCCCTGGGGTATTTCTTCATGGGTACAAAGCAGCATGGTTCAAAAGTTGAACTTGTTTTAAGTTCCTGGCATGTCATTTCAGAGCTGACCTGATGGCCTGGAAATAGAACTATCATACAGCTTTGTAAGCTGCGGGAACCATTTTTCTCTCAATAGAAGCCTTCTAGACATTTTCTCTGCATGGAAATATCTTTATAGACTTTTCTCTGCACAGAAGGACTGCAAAAGCAATAGCACTCGTGGCCTCTGTAAGTGCTTTTTTTGCTAGGTGTTCTTTTTTTCCCTGTGATTTGAACTGCAAGTTCATTACAGGACTTCACCCTATCACTTCAGATTTTTAAACTGACCCTTAGGCATACTTCTAGAAGGCACCTGTAGTCTAAGAAATTTTAGGAACAGATTTCATGAGACTGCATACTTCAAATGACATTGGTGGGGCACTATAAGGCCAACACGATTGTTCGGCAGAGCTATTTGTTAGTAGGCTTTGTTATATTAAGACCTGCATCACATACGAAGTGATGCCATCAGGACACTAACTGAAGTTTCGATTTCTGGATTATACTGAAATTTATTATACTGTGCAGCAGGGAGAACCACCCAAACATGACACAATATGGATCAAGTGTTATCTAAAATTTGAGCTAAGATCATTCAAATTTTCTCAGTAATTTTAAACTGTAGCTTAATTTAAATCCCATTAAAAATCAGGTAAAAAAACTTTCAGGCTTTTGGCAAGAATGACAACCGAGATGTAAACAGCTTAAAGATGTTACTTTGCAGAGAAAGTAAGTCCTCTATAATGTATTTAAGGTGATCTCCAGATAGGGTTTCAAAACGTTTATTTTTTCTAAAGAGAAATTTTTTTGCTTTGTGGACAAGTATTCAAGTATTTCTTCTGTGTTACTGCTATTATTCTCACTGTTAAATGCTGTTACATTCATAAGCTCCAGTTTGGATCACAATCTCTTGCTGTATAAACACAAAGGTAGAACCCTGCCTCAGGTGAGATTACAAAGCTGGGATAAATGACCTATAAAGAATATGCTCACTGCAAAACCCAGTAACATAAAGCTGACCACCAGAAATGGCAGAACCAGGTTTCCTCTCAAGTCATACTTGGCTTAACGTGTAAAACACTGTGGCAGAACTAGCTCAAACATGGCTTTCTTTTAGATTAAGCATTATGAACATGAGCTGTATCCTCTTAGCAGTGTTTGGGCACAGCCCTCCTTCCTCCTGATTTCAACAGCAACTTTGAAGGCAACAAATTTTGAAAACAACATTGGGTTGTAACATTGGCAAACAGAGTGATGGCAGCTCTGATGTTTCACCAAGAGAAAGCATCGGAACTGGCCTGTATTTGAAGGAATTTAGTTTCTGGCCTATTTCAAGGCTTCTTGGTGATCTTAGACAGTTCAACATGGCATGTTTTCAACCCACAAACTCTCATGTGCATTTCACCGTGGGGGAAATCTCAAAGTAAGCACTTGTCTAGGAAAAAAGGGAAACCCAAGGTTTTGGTTATAACTATTTCTCTGTCTTCTTCCAATTTATTTTGAAATGAAATAGACTACTGGACTAAATCATGAAACCATGACAATTTTACCACTTCATTGGTTTAATAATTTGTGTGTTTAAACTTGCCAGTCTTCGCATCTCTTCAGAACGGAAGCAATGCAAGACTCGGGTAATACCTTGAGCTAAGAGTCACATGTGCTAGAAGTGACGTGTCTTTGCGAGATTTTAAAGTCTCTTTTTAATATTCTGTCACCACATTGAAGTCAAAGCTGAGGCAATTTCTCTGCTGCTGCTGAAATTCCTACCTGATGGATACTGTTAAATTGTTCCTGTCAGAGCTCAACTAGCCCAAACCCTCTGAAACTGCTTCCAAGCAAGAAATATGATTCTACTGTAATGTGCTACACTGTTCTGTATGACAAATACTTTGTTTTATAATGAAATGGGAAACCAAAAGAATAGATTTCCTCTTTTTCTCATCCTTACCCTTCATACACTGCTGCACTGTATCATGGATTTTCAGGTTGTCGAAACTGATGCTGAAGTTCTGGCAACGTACAACTCTGCCCCAGTGATTTATGCTAGGGATGAAAGAAGGGAGCTAGAAATAAAAGCTCCAAAAATTACTTTAGTGCTATGCTAAAAAAAAGGGCTATTTGTCACACAGTCATTTTCAGCTCATCCAGTACAACCTCCAGACACATCAGAGGAGACACAATCTCCTCTATTCATTTGCATCTCATTTACAGTAGGGAATGACAGGCATGCAACCCACAGCGTGTGCGCTACAGTAGGAAATAGAAAGTGGCATTAAAAAAGTTATCAACGGCAATATGTCCACCTGCGAGGAATTACTGTTGTGTTAAATGAACATGTCCTCAGGCAACACTGATCTGCAATTTGCAGCCTGTGTATGAGAGGTCTTCACACAATCTGGGAATTAAGCTGTTTCCAAGAGAAAAGTGAGGTGAGGTAGTGGTACGTAGCCCATGTTCTCAAGGAACAGGGAAGCGTGCATCAGTGATAGCAGGAGGATGGCGCGCTCAGTGGGGCAGGTCTGCTGTAGCAATGGCCTGTTGGAAGAAGACTTTCCCAGGTGCCTTTCTGGGCAGTGGTGCTCCACATACACTTTTTCCCATGATGGAAGAGCACACAAGACTGTGGAATGCAATCAAGTTTCATCGCAGCATCTGATTTTTATTTGCTAAATTTGCTAAAACCAACCTTTTTCCTGCAAGCAAATGTGAAGTTACTTCTTAGGAGTTTCATTTTCCTAGCAAAACACAGATTTCAAGGTTTAGTTGTTTTTTTTTTTTTTAAATGATCTGTCATTGCATTGTTCTTAGTTGATAAACAAACAATGCATGACACTTGAAAATAAAAACTGATCTGTGGACTGGAATGTGAAGAACAGAAACAGGTAATTGTATTTTAAGTACTGTAACCTACCTCATAAAGTCAATGGACTTAAATATTAGAGAGAAGGGGTACTGTGAAACAAAACCATGCCATCTCCTCTAGGGAAGGAGTAAAGAATCAAACCTCCTTTCCACAGGCAGATTGAACAGAAGCATGTGGTTTGGAGGCAGTTCTGTTATGGAGGTGTACTGATGTTCATCAGATATTCTCAGACAGACCATAAACCTGCTATTAGCATGAAGGGAATGATCCCTATTTTATTTCACAATATTTGGAATGTGTATGGGGCTCATGATGAGTGCATTATTGTTGACCTATTTTGTCTGAACAAAATATCACGGTATTTGTTTTTTAAAATACATTCTGAGGAAGGTATTATTCCTGAGTCTTTACTGTTCATACAGTTCATATTTTCAAGTTTTCCTTTACATCCTCTGAAAGCTGAAAACTACTTTATGACAGTTCTCCCATCACTATCCAACTGCAATGATTTTATGATAAGTATATAATATTATGAGGTCTGTCTGCAATAAAACCATAGAAGCCAGCAGCAGAGTTGCTCACACCAACACCTAGCGTAACCACGGTTCTCCTCATGTTTCTACACAACAGAGTGTCTGTGTGCTTCCCTACGCTACCCACAAAACACACATTGAACCTGTTCTGGAAAACGTCAGAATCTTATTTCAAAGCTGGCCACAACTATCAACCTCGTCTTTGCTGACCAGTCACCACCACGGTCCGGTACCAGCAGAGGAGGGAAACTGGGGCTCACAGGTGACATCTGTTATAAGTGTTGCATGAGGCGATACAAACATTGCAGAGTAATTGTCATTGTGTGGTTTCTTGCACAGGTGCCAACCCCGTCCATTAGAGACCGGATGGAGACGATCTGTCACACAATACTGGCCAAACAGCCATGGGGCAGCGATTACTTTCCACCACTTGTAACTGCTCCAGGGCTATACAGACCATGATGTAAATCCCAAGGGTGGTGCAGATCCCCATTGCCTCTTATGGAAGGCAATAGGCAAATCACACAACTGAAACCAAACCACAGAGGACTTTACCCACAGCATTCCCCAGGCCATAAATAGTGTGTTACTGATCAGCCTAAGACAGCAAGAAGTGCGTGTCATGCCAAAACTGACTGCTGGGTTACTGTATGGCTTTTGCCTTCTGTCCTTTAAGATAATCTTATCATCTTGAATGTTACTTGCCCTCTTGCCCTTCCTTTGACGTCGTCTTTGAAGTTTTTTCTGT